TATGCGTTTGGGTCTGCCAGGTCTACGCGGCATGTTCCCTTGCCATCTGATCCAACTCACCACCAGGTGGTGATCAGTTGACAGCTCCGCCCCTCTCTTCACTCGGGTGTCCAAAACATACGGCCGCAGGTCAGATGATACGACTACAAAATCTATCATCGACCTGTGACCTAGGCTGCCCTGGTACCAAGTGTACCGGTGGGCATCCTTATGTTCGAACATGGTGTTCGTTATGGCCAAACTGCGGCTTGCACAGAAGTCCAATAACAAAACACCGCTCGAGTTCAGATTAGGTGGGCCGTTCCTCCCAATCACACCCCTCCAGGTCAAGCTGTCATTGCCCACGTGAGCATTGAAGTCCCCCAGCAGGACAATGGAGTCCTCTGATGGAGCACTATCTAGCACTCGTCCCAGGGACTCCAAAAAGGGTGGGTACTCTGAACTGATATTTGGCCCATAAGCACAAACAACAGTCAGGACCCGTTCCCCGACCCGAAGGCGTAAGGAAGCTACCCTCTTGTCCCCTGGGGTAAACCCCAACACACAGGCAGAGAGTCTCGGGGCTAACAAAAAGCCAACCCCAGCCCTCCGCCTCTCACCCGGAGCAACTCCAGCAAAGTAGAGTGTCCAACCCCTCTCCAGGTCTCGGGTTCCAGAGCCAATGCAATGTGTCGAGGTGAGTCCGACTATATCTAGCCGGTACCGCTCAACCTCTGCCACAAGCTCCGGCTCCTTCCCCGCCAGCGAGGTGACGTTCCATGTCCCAAAAACTAGTTTTCTTGTCCGGGGATTGGACCGCCAAGGCTCCCGCCTTGGTCTGCCACCCGATTCGCATTGCACCGGACCCTTCATGTTCCTCCTGCGGGTGGTGGGTCCACAGTTGGACGAGCCCATGTATCCGGTTCGGGCTGGGCCCGGCCGGGCCCCATGGGCGAAAGCCCGGCCACCAGGCGCTCGCTCACGGGCCCCAACCCCAGGCCTGGCTCCAGGGTGGGACCCCGGTAACCCTCCGGGCCGGGTACTCCGACTCTTCGTTTTAACCGCCATGAAAGATCCTTCGAACCGTTCTTTGTCTCACCCTTCACCTAAGACCAATTTGTCATCGGAGACCCTACCAGGGGCACTAAGTGCCCCAGACAACATAGCTCCTAGGATCATTAGGGCACTCAAACTCCTCCACCACGATAAGGTGACAGTTCAAGGAGGATTTCTATCAGTTAAAACCTCTCTAACTTTTCTGTACTTCCTTTTTTTTTCATGATTTTTGGGTCAGCAAATGTTCAGACCGTCATCTGTGGAGTTCTAGATGTGTTAGGCTGCAACTGGGCATTTTAGAAAGAATTTTAAGTGGATTTTTTTGAGGCGGAACTGATTTTTTTCTCATTTCTGCTGTATTCCAGGTCCTGTTACTCTCAGTCAGTGACAGAAGTGATGTTTTTTTTAGAATTTTATTGTAAACTTTAGAGTCTTACCTTTTAGTTTGATACCAAAACAGCTCAAAGAAACCTTGTAGTTTCTGAGATATGCTCGATTCACTTTGGGCACATCTTTTTCAAGAACATCTCTGAAAAATGGCCTGGTGTTCAAGAGGTTGAATTCTCTGACTCAGTTGCTTCATACAGTAGTTGGTAGATTTAAAACTTTCCTGCTGTTATTTTTCTGAGGTGTGATTTTGTCAAGCTTGTCACCTACAACATATGCAAATCTGGCATCTTCAGTTTCATTTGGGACTACTCTCTCTGTATTAATCCTGTCGAGCCTTTAGAGCAACACCTCATCCATCCTTTTCTTCCTCTTCAGTGCTGGGCCTAGGCCCTCTGAGACACTGGATAGTCCTGAGCAAAAAAGCTGTTTTTGTCTTCCGCTTGGTCCTAGTGCTCAACCAGTGTCTTTTTAATATAGCATAATATTGGTTTTGGACAGTAAAAAGTGCAGGGGACAAAAATTGACTTTGGAAAAAGTGGGGGGAACATGTTCCCGCTGCCCCTCTCAAAAACTACGGCCATGCTTAACACCACTAAATGCTGGAGAAGAGCAGACCTTTTCCACTGGTGACATGAAGGAACACATATTTTGGGGGTCCTAGGACACATTGTTCTGTATTCTGAGGAACTGGATGAAGAAGATGATGGTGATATAGGGGAGGGTGTAGGGGTAGCCTGAAGTATATCTACAGTTCACAAATATTTCTAGCTTTAGTTCTGTATTTGTTTTTACAGTTTTCATTTTCTAGTATTTACTGCCTGAGTATGTTTTATAAAATCTGATATATTTATAATTTAAGAGGTTCTCCTGATAAAGAGCCATCCACCAGCAAATAGGCAATGTCAGAGTCATGCTACTGGAGATGCTCCACATCTTCTGGACTCCTGGTCAACAAAGTCAAACCCAGGTACCATCGATCCCAGACACCCAGTTTTATCCCCAGATCCCCCTGGTGATCAGCCGCCTCTCACCACCACCTCCACAAACAAATCAGCAACAAGTAGCAGAAAGAGGCCATGACACATCAACTATTTCAGGAGCAGCAGGGTGCACAGCTGCTTGGTGAGGATGAAAACCCTCCAGTGACATCTGCTCAAGGTCACATCCCTGTCCCCTGGACCAGTGGAGATGGAATGGACAAAGCACAAAGGGTAGGTCAGGGGTGAAACAGGCACACTCTGTGCCCCCCAAAAAACACTCCCTGGATGTGCAAAGAGTGCAAGAAAGAGTTTAGTCTGCAGCAGGACAAGAACTGCGTTGCAGAATACCACAGCAGCTAAAAACGCCTGAACATCAACAGACAATATCACCTGAAACTCAGACATTGAAAATTATACATATATAAAATCAATACAAATACACATTGGGCTTAATTTCTGCTACTGTATGTCAGGTTTTTTGTTCATGTACATTACATTTTCTTTCCATTTTATTTTATAACATATGGTTTTGGTTTAAAAAGCCAATTATAAACTTAACACCAGCTTTAAATGTTAAAGGGGCATTATGGAAGTTTGACAGCCAAAACATGTATAGAAATAATAAATGTCTTCTTCATACATTCTCCTGTAATGCCCTGGTCCTGTAGCATGAGCCCTGGCATTTTTACTGTGATTGCCTGTTTTTCTGTAAAATCACAGAAGAAGAGAGCTGCTCTGGTCGAGCAGGCTGCTTCATGCGCGTTCACGCTCACGCATAGCCCGTAGCATTTGCTATCAGTAGCTTTAGCAGCAGAGAGTGAGGTAGTGCCAACTCAGCGACTTTGTCGCTGTTCCTAACGCCTAGTGATGAACCTAGCTACATTTCTGATGACCCTTAGCTACTTTCTTCTAGATATTTCCTGCAAATTAGCAACAAAATAGCCATGTTCGCTCCGAATCATTCTTTGAACGTCGTTTTAGCTGCAATCAAGGATATAAATATTACAGATACCAAAAATGTCACTGGTGGTTTAGCTCATCTAGTTAGACGTCGGACTCTCGTGCAGGAGACCCGGGTTAGATTCTGGGTGAGAACACAGTATTTTTAGAGTTTCTTTTTTACAGTAATGGTATATTTTTTACAGTAAGATGCCCAAATCTTTATTTGAGACTCGCCGAACGGCATTGAATTCACAGTTAAAAAAGATGTGGGTTCAACTTTCATTTTGGAACAATTTTTCAAGCAAGGGAAGGGAATGATCTGAGCATGCAGGAGGACTGACCCATCATAAACCATGGTCAGCTGTGCTGAAGAGAAAGGTACAGAACCAAATTATTTAATTAATTAGCTGCGCGTTCTCCTGCCCTCTGTCCTCCGGGCCACACACACACACACACACACACATACACACACACACACACACATACACACACACACACACACACACACACACACACGACTGTCAGCTCTCAGAGCTCTGTGAAGCTGACCCCGAGCTTCGTCTCAGCTGTTATTTTCGTTAAGGAGTGTGCACGTACAGCATGCGCGCCTTGTGCACGAGCCTCCTATTGAAGCTGCCGTTACACTTTTGGCCAGAGGGGGCAATCGTAAGCATAAAAATTCAAAACTCCGTAAAGTCCCTTTAATAGCCCAATAAAACCGGAGTTGTACTTAAATTCATTAAATCTCAGACCATCAGATATTGTGATCTTGACCACTGTCTTGATACAGGAATCTTTAATCAAGTGTTGTTGTACTTGTTCACATGCACTTAGCCGCCTTATTATGGTATAAGTGATGTGAACGTCCCTCACAGGGTGGAGGTCTGCACTCTGACTTCTTTCTAGTTTTTATTAGTTATCTTTCTTGAGTGAGTGTTTAATTTTAATATTGTACCATGTTTTGCTTACAATCTTATGGTGTGTTTATCGATAATCTCAGGTAGGTTATCATTCAATTGCAGTTTGTAAAAATAGGGGGCCCCAGAATAAAATCTGGCATAGCGCTGCCACAATGCTAGAAACTGCCCTGGTCAGCAGGTTTGTCTGCCCTGAAAACACATGGTTGCTAAAATGACGTAACTTGGCCGCGCAGAGCCGTGCGGACCTTGCGGATGCGTCAAGAATAAACCAAGCTTCACCCAACCAGCATGTAGCATTGAACTCTTCCTTCTCTCCTCCTTTCTGCTTTCTCTCCCCTTTCCCTCTTTAGCTTTAGCCCTGCTTCCCATCTGAATCCATTTCCTCCTGTTTAGTGTTGATGGGGAGAGGCAGCAAGGGTAGACAGGAAGGCAAGGTGAAGCGTGCACGATGGTTGTCATTTTGTTATGTGTTGAGCCAGGAGGAGCAGAGTGAGGGAGAGGGAGGCAGAGCAAGGGGAGGACAGTGTGATAGGGAGAGAGCAGTGTGATAGAAGCAGAGTGAGAACGAGAGCAAACGTGCTTTGGCGCTCACAGCTCACATCGCTAGCTGGCTTGTCTGTTCACTGCTGACGAATGAGCTGTCTACCCCACGGGGCTGGGAAACAGCAGCTTGTGACAAGCTGGGGAGAGAGGAACATGAATGTAATGCGAACCTTGCCTCGTTTGCTTTCAGATACCGGGCAGAAGAGTCCAGAAAAAAAGGATGGGAGGCGCTTGTCATTCCAGAGACCCAAAGGAACCACCAAATATTCTGTGAGTAACACGTAGGCACCTCTGCTATGTTTTTGTCCTCATGTGTTAAAATGCTTTTCTGCTGTGGGGCTGCTGCTCTGTGAGTGTTTGTCTTCTGCTGGCTCCAGAAATATCAAGGATGCAGCAGTTTCTGATTTGAAGGACCTGTTTAACCATTGCTGGTTGGAAGGAAATCATGTGATAGATTATTCTAGCCAAACACGTTTCTTGGTAAACTGTTTATATAAGGAGCACTGTGCATTTGTAAACAAACCTGTAAGGTTGCTGCTATATATGCTGTAGGAAATCTGCACGTTCTGTTAAACCAGGAGTGTGTTTTTTTAAACTCTCATTTTGTTTTTGTATGTATGGGAAGGAGATGGGCATATGTGACAGCCCTGGTTAATCCTCCTGCTGGACGAGAGTAGGGAAGACGGACAGAAGTGCTGGCAGAATGCGTAGTCATTTTCCGTTCCCTGTGCAGCTAATCAGCAAGCATTCCACCACACAGCTTGGTGTGCTTGCAAATGACCTTCCAACTGCGTTGTCATTTCTATTGATTTAGCTGTTGTATGGAGGGAGGGAAGAGGAGAGGAAAAAGGAAGGTGAGGCGAAGGAGAGAGGGAGAACAGACTCCTGTTCCCATGCATGAACTACAAAATGTCTCTGCTTTGCCCAGTGGTGTTCTTGAAATGACCCTGAAATTCAGCTGCAATCAAACAGCTTCATCACAATGACATTGGAGATGCACATTGCTCTGTCTCAGCTCCGGCAATCTGGTGAGACAATAAAGAAGGTAAGACGACCCAAAGCAAGCCAGGGACTCAGAGAGGTTAGACTTTGTGGTCTATGTTTTCATGCCTATCCTTGTTTCCGGTTTCTGTCCTTCTGCTGCCAGGTCTCTTCATATGTGCTCTTGGCTGCAGCTTTAACTCTAATTGATCCCATCAGCTACAGCACATTTACCCCAACAATGTAGCTACAGCTGCCCTGGGATTCGAACTGCTGAGCACTGGCACCACCGGTCCCTTCGACCTCCACCAGGAGGCTAGGCAGGTCAAGTGTCCGACCCAAGGACACAACAGTTTCGACAAGGTTTTGGACGAGGCTCAAACCTTTAACACTCTAGTCACGTTAACTCCTCTGCCACTGTCACCCTAAAGCCTCATTTTTTAATAATGATAAACTTTTTATTTAGCGCTGAACAAAGTGCTGCACAGAGGAGCACTAAAAGCATCAACAAACATATAAAATTATATTGCAAGCCAGAGGATAAGTATGAGCATGAGCTTGATGAGAACAAAAATAAAATCAACAACAAATAGAGTAGATAAATACACTAAGAAGCTGTAAAACATAAAAAGCAAATCCTAGTGATAGCTAATCGGGATAAGTTGTTGTGAATAATTAAGTCCTCAGTCTGGCCTTAAAGACCTCAGCAGTGGTAGCATGCCTAATGTCCAAAGGGAGCACATTCCAAAGCAGTGGTGCATGATATGCCAATGCTCAACCTCCAATCGTCATGCTCTTAATCATCCAAACATATAGGAGCCCCACAGCACATAAGCTGAATGATCTCTTTGGGACATATGGCTTCAATTTATACTTTTGCATCAGCTCTGCGAGGGAGAGATGCACACACAATGACATTTTTTGTTTGAACTTCTCCGCCACCTGAGGATTGTTGCAAAGCATTTCCCCGCCAGGACAACAGAGAACATAGCACTATTCTGTAGTATCCTGCCACCCAGAGGTGGAAAGAGTACTACAATTTTATACATACGTACAAGTACCAATACTTTGATAATTTTTTACTCAAGTACAAGTAAAAGTATTTGCCAAACCTTTTACTCAAGTAAAATTAAAATTCATTGTAAAAATGTACTCAAAGTAAAAGTTAGTTACTTTTTGGTCAGCGTAAGGATGGCTACATCTGTGTACTGCAAAACAATTCTGGCAAACAACACGCTCGCGTGCGTGAGCAGACATGCACACACACACACACACACACACACACACACACACACACACACACACACACACACACACACACACTTCTATTTATATGCTTGTGTGGACCTCCATTGACTTTCATTCATTTTAGAGACTCTACTATGCCTAATCCATGCCCTAAACCTTACTTTTACCCAATGGCGTTCTATTCCTAACCCAAACTAAAAGCTAATTCACACCATACTTCTAAAACCAAGGGTTAGGGCGTCACCAAATGTGACAGATAATTTGCTTCTGTGGCCCCCAGAACCTGGAACTCTGTTGTGTGTGTGTGTCTGCTCTGTCTTCTCAGTCCCCAGTGAGTCGTGGTGGATGGCTGCTTATACTGAGCCAGGATCCTCTGGAGGTTTCTTCCTGTTAAAAGAAAGTTTTCCTCTCCACTGTCGCTGCATGCTTGCTTAGTATGAGGATTGCTGTAAAGACACTGACACTAGTTAATGACCTGATGCAATTTGCTGGGTTCCTCATATAGGAAACTTTTTTACTGATTGGCTTAATGAACTGAACTGTATTGGAATGTTTACTTTGTGAAGTGCCTTGAGATGACTCTTGTTGTGATTTGGCGCTATATAAATTAACTTGAAATTAAATTGAATTGAAAATGTAGTGAAATACAATTAATTTACAAAAACATACTCAACTAAAAGTAAAAGTGCAGATTTGAAAAACGACTTAGAAATTATAAATACACAAAAAAGTTACTCAATTACAGTAACACGAGTTATTTGTCACTTTCCAACTCTGTTGCCACCATTAAGCCTAATTTATACTTGCGCTGTTGACGAAAGCAGCGTCCTGACTGATTACAAGTTTGTTCTCCGTCTCGTTGGATGGATGTTTAGAAAAGAGAGCTTGACTCTGTCAGTGCTTGTGAGCCTGCTGGAGAGCCCTCAAAAAGACAAATAATGGAGTTCCATGTGTCCGTCCCGACGCAGACGGAGAAGTGTAAATTAGCCTGTACAGTCGTGTATCTGGTCCACAGTAGTGTATTTACTATTGTTGACATTGTTTAATGTACTTAAGAGATGTTATAAAACAGACAAATCTGTCCCTCATTTTCTTCTACCCCTTCATGTGATCAGCATCTCTAAACCCACGTTTCTTGTCTTTTCTGTCCACAAATAAAAATGTTCTCTGTGTATCTTTGTTCTCCTTCAGTCGAGTGAATAAACATTCATATTTTCAGATTTTTTATAAAAGGCGTTCTTCAATCAATAAGCTATTATAAGTGTAGCTTACTGAGTATTAACTATAATAAGCTGATGCTTCAATGAGTAAGCATCAGCTTCCTCCTGCTTCTTTTCAAACTGAATATGACAATTTAATTTTTTGTATAATTATCAGTGCGATTTTATTTTTAATGTCTACAATTACTTCAGTATAATTTTTTAATTATTATTATTGCACGTTTAAAAATGTTCGAAATAAAGATTTCATTCATTTCATTCAATCTGTTCCTTATTTCCGTTAAATATGTTTTTGAGGGAGCAATGGCGGTGCTGTTGACGAATTTAAAGGAAGCAGCATCCTGACCAATCACAAGCTTGCAATCTCCATCACTTTCGACAAATAGAAGCTAGAGCGACTGCCAAATCCTCACTACTCATCCTGCTTGATTTATTGCTGCATTTGACACTGCCAACCATGGCTGTCTTTTGTCCATACTCTAGCATGAGCATCACAAGAAAAGCACACTCCTCATTTGAATCATACCTGACAGGATGATCATTCAGTGCATCTTGGCTTGGACAATCTTCTGCTGTTCACCATCTTGCCACAGGAGTCCCCCTGGGCTCTGTACTAGGACCTCTTCTCTTTGCCATATACACCACCTCACTGGTTGAGATCATTCGATCCCATGGCTTCTCCTACCACTGCTATGCAAATGACACCCAGCTCTGTCATTCCCGCCGGATGACCTCACAGTCTCTGCAGGAATCTCAAACTGTCTTTCTGACTTATCAAAATGGGTGAAATCCCACCATGTCCAACTCAACCTCTCAAAAACTGAATTACTTGTCATCCCAGTGAAGCCATCCATACGGGACAATATCTCAATCCAAAATTATTCCCCATCTCTGGCTCCTTCAAAGGTAGTTCAAAACTTGGGTGTTGTGATTGATGACCAGCTGACCTTTAAAAATCACGTTGCCTCTGTTGCTCGTTCATGCGCTGTATAACACATGAAAGATAAGACCGTACCTCACACAATATGCCACCCAGCTCCTGGTGCAATCTACTGTCATGTCCTGCGCTTCGACTACTGCAAAGCCCTTCTAACTGCCTTCCAACCTGTACTGTGAGACCTCTTTAAAAATCCAGAATGTAGCGGCGCGGCTGGTCTTCAATAAACTTAAAAGAGCACATGTCACCCCTCTGTTCACTGAGCTCCATTGGCTACCGCTAGCTGCACGCATCAAATTCAAATAGCTAGCACTAGCATACAGATGTGGAATGACCTACCAAGCACTACTAGAACAGAGAGCATCTTCTAAACTAGCACCCTCCCAGCAACCGTCCCCCACTCTACTGCACACTCCATGTTCGCTTTCCTATATGATAGATTATGCTGCCTCGCTGCCACCTAGGATTGACTGAATAGTGTTGGTTGTTGGCCTCAAGGGCAACCTGCTGGCTTGATTATCACCTGTAAGTCGCTTTGGACAAAAGCATCTGCTAAATACATGAACATAAATTGTTTGGCATGTCTCTGTAATCCTCTGTGAGCTTGTAGAAGAGCCCTTGTGTCGATGGATAATGGCGTTGCCTGTCTTCGTACCGATGCAGGTGGAGAAGTATAAATTAGGCTTAATAGACAACAGAGAGTCGGCAAGATGGACATTATTGCTGATGGAAAAGAAGGTGGAAGGGTATAGGCATTAATTCAAATAGCATACCAATCCTATTCCTGTCAGCCATTATTCGCTTTCCTTTTATTAGCCTCTGCTAAGTTACTGAAATGATGATGGATGGATTGAGCCCTGCCGATTATTTTGTCTGGTGACATG